AAATAACTGGCGACGCTAATAAAAATCGCTTTTCATAGCCATCAACGTCCTGTCTGAGAGTAACGTGGAAATATAGCATATTTTAAAAGTTTTCACCTCTTAGAAATTTTATTGCTTTTAGATACTTACTTTATTTATTTTTGCCAAAACAATTTCTAACGGGGTAGTTGAAGGCGAAAATTGTTTGTAATTTTCTAATAATATTAATAGTAAGCTCGTGCCTAATTTGGTAATAATTCGTCGACACCGAACAAATAAAGTTTATTATTTTAAAATTTTCGGATTGCGGATTATGATAAAATTTTGCATATAAATAATTCTAAGTATGGATTAATATTTAAGTTACTTTTATTCTACTAAATGGTTACTTAAGGATAGAACTGATATCAAGGAAAAACGTAAACATCGTCATTTATATTGGCCGTTCTTCATTTGTGTACAGATTCGATGTATTTTATTTTACTCTATTGAGATTAATATAAGACTTACAAGACTTAAGCCAGTTTTACAAACGTTCATTGAAATTGACATTATTTTAAAGCGACATTACCCATACAAATATGTCATTCAATAAAGCTTAAAGGCGTTTTAAAATTATAATTAAAGTTTGTGCAACTGACCGTTAACGGGGCACATTATAAAATAAATGTATTGTTATTAAATGTTTGAGTTTCTTATAAATAAATTGAATATTCAATAAAATATAGCCTAAAAATTAATATTACATCAATCATATCGAAAGGGTACCCTTGTAATGACAAATTGCAGTCTGTCGTCTATAAGGTCTTCATAAATCAATAACATCAAATTACATTGGCAGAAATGTCTTTTGTGTATTACTAGCATTGGATAAAGTAGATGACATTTGCTTAATTTTCTTTTTCAGTCACTACAAAAAGGAGGTTTTATTTTGTTTTTCAATTTATATTTCGCTATATATTTTCATATCGACGCCCGGAAAGCAAATACATAGTTACCCGCAAAACCAAAAATTGTTCTACTCATATTATTTAACTTATATTATTTTCAAAAATTAATTATTATAAACGTTCATAGTAACGAATAAGGTGTTCCTTAGTCAAATTATAAGGAAAAAGGATATTTTTTGGAAAAATATACAGATTTTCAACTCTAAATATTCGTTTTGGTTTTGCAGCACAGGAATAATTTCTATACTAAGAAAATGTACATGAATTATAAATAATTGCACAATTAATAATAAAAAATGTACGTTGTGGTTTTCAATGTAGATAAAACATCGTTGTGGTGCTGCCACAGAACATCCTTAGCCGCCGTACTACATTATTTTTTTTTACCAAATAAGCAGATAACCAGTTGCAGAAACCTTTATTAAATTTGTCATTAGTATAAAACTACATTATCCATACAAATTTGACATTCATTAGAGCTTAAAAACGTCATTTAACCATCATGAACGTTTGTGCAATTGACTGATAGTTTAATATAAAATGAATGTACGTTCCATTGGCGTATAATTTGGCAATAAATTTCTTGTATCGAATCGATCGCTGAATTGATTGTTGAGATAATAGCTGAATTGTTAATCTAAATTAAATAAAAACTAGCAACTGGTTGGATTACTGATTTATTAAAAATCAGTTACATAATACCAATACCGCGCGATGACGGCTTGCCCACAGAATTCTGTGAACAATTATTTAGTTGGTCCTCAAAAAAGTTACAGAATAATGGGCAGTTCTTACCTCCTTTGAATCATAAACAATATTGTGTGTTTCTTTGGATTTTTGTTAGCATTATGAAAATAGACGAAATTTTATTGCGAAGTAGTGTCACGTTATTTCTTACGAGTAGTTTGACTCGAAATTAGTGTGTTAATAATTGGAATAAAATATTTTCCATGATGTTTGAACAGTACCAACATTAATATATTATATGCTTCATGATGTAATGTAATTTGAATGATAATGCCCAAAATATATTAGTTTACTTATTTCATAACGTTTTTATCTTCAGTCATAATTTTTCGGTTGTAATCTTACGAGCAATATAAAAAGCTTTAGGTAATATCTCCTTAGGGATACTAAAAGGATATGAATATTCTCTTATTATTTGCAAAAGTACTGAAGATAAAGCAAAAAAAGGTTATGCAGCTTGCATGCTGGATGCAAGGTGCCGCCATCTTTGAAGTTCCGGGTTCGTTTACCGGTCGGTTCTATGTAGAAAATGAACTTTATTGTCGCGTGTTTTGGTGAAGTGACCTTTGTTGTTTCATATAATCTATATTAAGAGTGTTTTAGTTACTCATCTTGGTATATTCAATAATAATTTAGTTTAATCTTCTATAATTAGTTATAACATATTATTGATTCGATGCTTCATGCTTTCATAGTATACTCATATACTGTAATATGACAAATAAATGACCAAAACTTTATAATTTAAGCTTTTTTCCTGCGCCTTCGCCTGCGTAAATTATAGCCTATGTCCAACGCGTATTAAGTAGCTTCCCATAGAAAGTCTCATAAATCAATCCAATAGTTTCGGAGTCTATTCAAAGCAAACAAACAAATCTTACCTCTTTATATGAGAATTATTAGAAAAAAATATGCCGAGCAAATAAACAAAACCCTCTTTTCTAAGACTTTCATTATGTTGAATATTTTTTTATTTATAATGGATATTTCATATTTTTTGTGTTACCTATTATATAAATAAATATCAATATCACTAAATAGCATGAAATAAAAACTTTAAAAAATATTACCGATAGAGAGCCATTTAAAAGTAACCTACAACCCTTTTTCATTGTAATATCATTGATTTTGATTGTATAACCAAAGTATCTCTGACCTGTTTAAATAACTCGCACATGTTTTTGTGCACTACCTCAAAAACGTAATAGCATGTTTAAATTATAACGATTGTACATGACATGATTGTTTATAGCGATTCCAGTTTCACAACATTTGCTTATAGCACGACACATATTACCCGGCGTAATATATTAAGAGCAGAGTTCTCACTTCCTCCAATGAAAGCCGCCACTCCAAACGCGATATCGCGGTACATTATTGTAATAACACTGGGAGCTTCTTTGACAGCACAGGGGTCGTGTGTAACCTCTCATTTTCCTAACCGAAATTCAAAGGAGTTCTAACAAAGCTTTGTTTTGCATCGCTCGCTTGGGAAGCCGTTGAAAAGCAGCCTTTTTAGATAAGGCCCTCTTATATATTTCCACAGCATAGCGCAGACGTGCTGTGTTAAAATTTTTAGGTGTGGGAACGTTAACAGCTGGCATAATTCTAATTTCGATATGTCGTTCACTTGTTTTATTTACTGTGTCTTTATTACACTATTTAACTGTAACATCGAATAAAAAGAATTTTAATGTTAAAAAGGAAACATATAATGTTGGTGTGCCAATAAGAGTAATTTGGTTAAGTAATTTGTCTATACTAATTATAAAAAGGAAAGATTTGATTGTTTGTTTGTTCTCCGAAACTACTAGAGTGATTTTAAAAATTCTTTCACCTATGGGAAGCTAAATCATATGCGGTGAATATAGGCTTTATTTTATCCCGAACAGTAAATAAAGGGATGAAAATGGGAGTGAAAGCTTTTATAGGGTATTAATCCGTTTCCATAGAAACCATTGCTTACTATTTTATTTGTCATTGTAATTATATCCGTGTCATAGTATGAATCGATATCCAAATGAACAGTTCCCTAGGATTCTTGCAGGCGATCCCGCGAGCGGAAAGCTAGTTTTAAATAAAAGCTTTTCTCAAAATCTAAAGAATTATCTCGAAAGAATTAGCTTTGCTATTCTCTAAAACATTCGCTTGTAGAAAGCTCCCCTTAAATATTTTATTATGTTGTCATAGCGATAACAGAAATATATCAGAGAACATTTCTACTACCTCCCTATTATGATTTGTGAGATACAGCTTGGAGACAGACAGACAGCGGGGTGTTAATAACAGGGTCCCGTTTTTACCCTTTGGTACGGACCCGAGAAAAGTTTTATATTGATGTCTTAATAAGAGTATTTTGGCTAGGTCACTTATTTTAAAAACAATATCCACTCGAAATCAGAAGAAACATTATGAATAAAAATCAGAATCTAGTGCAGCTTCGTGTACAGCTTTTATGTATCATAGTCGGTTTCAATTGATTACAACATCTAAATTGTGATAAGGTTGTGTTCGACGTTACATTTGACGGTGTTTTTTTTTACAGAATAGGAAGTCGATTTCGATTAAACTTTTATTTGTATTTGAAATGGTTATTATAATTACGAGTACATATTCATAGTGAAATACTAAAATAGGCTAATGATTGTGTTGTGGTCTTCACTTAATAATTCTATTATGAATGGAAAGCTTTGAATAAAATGTTAGTCTAATATAGTTCACTAGGTCATAGTGCGAGAAAGGTATGGTAATTGCTTTGGAACAAACGTTAGAAATTCATGGATATATAATCTGTATTATGAGAATATAAAGAACCGTCCAATAGCTAATAATAAGAGTATTCTAACTTTTGATAGCCTTTACTTCATCCAAATTCTTGTTTGGCAAGTCAGATTACCACAATATACGATGATATACGATAAATTAATGGTAAATGATTAATAATTTAATTATTTTCTAAGAACTGTATCAAAAAGACAGGTTATCAATATTCCACTGATACATTATAATTACTTTAACCTTTTTAGAGAATTATATTTTTATTTGTTATTATTAAACAATTTTCTACTGACTTGTTAATGATAAATTTTTCATTTCTTATGTAATGCCTTAAAACGAGATTTTTTTGAATATATGATCTGAAATCTCGGAAACGACTCCCACGACTTCATGAAATTTAGTATGCAGTGGGTTTTGCGGGAGAAAAATTGATCTTGCTAGGTTTATTTTAGGTACCAAAACCATAACATCTAGCTACTACCCATCATCCAGGTACTAAACTTAATTAAGTATAGTTACATAACATGAATATTATAAATCACTTACCTATAACAGCTAATCGTATTTGAAAATTCCTCGTTGGTGAGTTTTTGAAATCTACTCGACATCGATATATTCCCTCGTCGTCCAGTTGTACAGTATCGAGCGTCAGAGCCGCCGGCCTCGCCACGGTAGCGAAGTACGCGCGAGGCCCGAACGCGTTCGGATCCGACCACTGCAGCGCCTTGTTAAACGACCGTCCACGTACGTCAAAGCTGGAACAAATACAACTCTAGTTAACAACACCTAGCTATACTTAATTCATTATCATCAGCCAGTCTTTACTACTGCCATGACCCACCACCAGGCAAATGCGTATTGGTGGGTTTTAAAGACTGTAGATGTAGCTGGAATCAACGGCTTTACGTGCCTTCCACAAAGCAAAAATATTTTTTTTATCCTTAGGGAATAGGGTTATAATTAGGCTGATGATGCGATGTGCTGATGAATTATTCATAAAGCATTGAATCAAAAATTCTTAAAAAATTCACCAGACCCAGACACCGAGATGGGCGCAAACCCACAGCCTTTTGTAATCTGGGTGACTACCATCTTAGTGCACTCGAGACTGGTGTGTTTTAAACATCTTTGATTGAAATTTTATTTGAAATATCTTTCGATATTTTCCATGATTTCGCACACCACCCAATAACGAAAAATCTACAAGAGGTGTTTTTTATACTTCGTGCTTTTTAAAGGTTTTGATTTCACGGATCAGTATTTTTTATTACTTCTCAATTTTTTTTAAGAATTTGGAAAGGCAATGTTTCAAAAAAGATTACTGAATGAGGGAAATACTAAAATGCAGTTCTTTTACCAAAACGAGCGTAGATCAAGACATTTGTCATATATTTTCTAAGAGAGATTCTAATATATCTGTGCAAGTAGTCGGCAAAATGCTAAGGATAAAAGAAAATATGTGAGAGGCGTGCAATGAGTGCCATATCAAAACAATCTAAAATGTGTGAGTCGTTACACGTCTTTCTCTACTTTATGCATTTTAATGTCATTATTTAGTAGGATAACGAATATATCACATTCCTGAGACAGAGACTCTCCTTTTGGCTCATCTGGATTATATATAAGATGAAAGTGTTTTTTTTAATTTTCAATTTTAAAAAGCGTATTTCGCAATACGCTTATTAAATAATTATGTGCACACGGCTACAAGTCAAGTCAAATTGTCGTTCCAGGTGAATGTTATTTCAGATTTTTTATAGATTGCATGTTAGAAACGTATAGTTATGGTCTACTTTTGCGTGTTACGGAAAATGTGGAATTGTTAGAGGAAAGCAAGTAACTGAATATAGAATATATCCCTAACATCGAATATTGGAATTCCTTCTTAAATTATTGCTGAAGAAAATATGCAAATTGTCAATAAGCCCTAGAAATTCGCGATCGCTTTACAGATTAGTTCATCTTATTTGAAAGCTTATCACAATTTATATTAAAAATCATTTACAAAGTTATTTCAGTTATCCATATTTGGTTTACTAATCAACATCAAAGAAACATTTTTACGAGTATTTTAAACCTTCGAGTGCTATGAAAATTTATAAATATCTCAAATGAAAAATATTTACACACAGAAGACTCCTGCGCCTGCTTTTTTATATATAGTAGTTACAAATTTTTATGTTTGATGTTATACATGAACTCGAAAACTGTAATCGTTTGAAAGGTTGGCCAAAATTTCCTGTCACGGCTATTAGGGAAACATTAGAAGAAAAGCTGGTAGTTTATTAGGATAGATATTTAAAAGGCGTCAGTAGGGATGAACGATACCACCTAGGTATCGATACTTTTCTCGACACCGTATCGGTTATAAGGTATCAATATCTACTCGCTATCGAAGGAAAATGATCGATACTTTTTACGAATAGTTTTAAAATAACTCACTATTGTCGTCATTTTTAAAGATTTTAAGAGCAGATTTAAGAAAGGGAAGCAGGTCCAGGCATCACAAGCGATGATTAAAAGCATATAGGTATTGATTTTGATGTTGGCATTACCCTTTTTAGATAGATCCCTAAGTACATAAAATTATTAAGGATTAGCAATGATTATTGTCATACGATAGGGATGCCGCGTCTATAGGATTTTTTCATGAGACACACTTTAGACATCTTACCACAGAGTAAACCGATATTAGTACTTACTTCACGATACTACTATCGGTTCTAAAGTATCGATTACAAAAGTACTTGATATCGATTAAGTATCGAGTAAGTACTTGTATTTATTGGTATCGTTTCATCCTTAGGCGTCAGCGTTCTAATAATAGGGCTAAACGACTAAGGTGATTAATGACAGGCTTCAAAGTCAGTACAAGCGCACTATAACGCTGAACTATGGACGAAAATATGGGAAGAGATTTTGTGAATTTGTATAGAGAAAGATTTTATTGCATTAAAAATAAATGCAAAAACAAAATTAGAAGTATGAATGGGGCGTTAAAGCTCAGTAGTGAGTACTTCAAGTGTTGCCGTCAGAGATTAAATGAAGATATTACAGCAGATTTTCATGCATTTAGCAATCTAATACCATTGTACATAAATTTATATCTATACTAATACTATAAAGAAAGATTCGACTGTTTGTTTGCATCGAATAGCCTAAGAAACTACTGGACCGATTTAAAAAAAAATTTCACCTACGGGTATTTAGATCATACAGGTTTAAAATAGGCTATAATTTACGCGTACGAAGTTGCAGAAAAACAGCTAGTAAAGAATAAAATAAATCTTTATGATGGGTTTATTTATAATATAGATAGTTATAATAATACATTCACAAATATGTTAGTAACAATTTCTCCGATTTTAATTAGTCAAATATATTTTGTAATCCAAAATTAATATACTAGATTTATTGGCATAGTTTTAAAATTAATAATCAATAGAGTGAACACAGCACTTCAGTTCTTGATGTTTCATACAACGTAACGCGATTGCAATGCATTTTGATCAGACTAATATTATTACACATGTATTGTATTCATTTCTGTTTCGGCAAAATAAAATTTGACGTTTATTTTTGAAGCAGTAAGGTTTAAAATCTAATTGAGAAACATGACAGCTTTGGAAAACCTGATTTAGTTTTTACTGTACAAGTTTGTTTGAATAATTTTATTTGGTGTGTTTCATTTATATGTATTTTCAAAACATATTCAAGTTTGTTTTGTTATTGTTACTTTAATGCCTTTGCGTGTGTTAATTTTACTGAATTTCTGTGGATTGATTTGAATTAATCATAGCGGAAATTGGGTTAAATATCACAAAACCATAATCGATTTTGAATTATACATACAGAGCGCGCAGCGAGTAAATGGGTGACGGGTTCGATGCTTGGGCGAATGAATGCAAGGCTGACTAAGCTTGAGAACTTGATTTTATTATACGGTAATAAAAGAAAAGAAAAAAGGAAACTGTAACAAACAAAAAAAAAACAGTTCGTATGAGTACCTAAATATATAATTATCACTGTTAAAAAGAACAAATACATGCCCGTTTCTGGATTTTCTATAATAGATAAAACTTGGACGATATTTGACGAAGATATACTTTTAGATTAACATTTTTCTTTTCTAATAATTAATTTTATTTTGAAATTTATATGATTATATTATCATGTTGAATTTTTTACGAACTGACATTCATAAAGAGCATATTTGATTAGTCGAAATTTCTAATTACGAAAGGTGAATAATAAAAAGAAATGATTTTGAATATCAAAGACAAAAAGTTTGCATGTGCAAACCTAGGACGAAATAAATTGTACGGCACACCGTTACAAGTGTTATAAAGCACGTCATCAGGTACTAACTACGACCCTTAGGAATTCCTCGGACACAAAACTTGACGCCTGATTATCCTAATTCATCAATATGACTTGCATTTCTTTTGTTGATTTCTAATTTACAACGTACAATTACGGGAAAGTTTTAACTTTCCCGTACTTGTACGTTGGTCTTGCAGACCGATGGTTTAGTTTTGATTACTGTTCAAACAAAATTGAGTGGCTCGCTGGCGTATTGGATAAGCGCCCCGGTCCGCAATCGTTGTTGTTAAGCAATTTTCGCAAGGGTCGGTAATGGGATAGGTGACCAAAAATATCTTGAGCTACTCTGTGCATCGGAAGGCACGTTAAGCCGTCGCTCGGTCCAATACTCTCCAATCCGCATTGGGCCATTGGGCTGATGATGATGATTATTACTGTTTAAACGAAAAACAAAGTCTCTGGAATATGATTCTTAATGAGGTATATTTAAGTATAAGAAATGTCTATCTCACGAACCAAATCATTTTGTTCAACGCGAGTATAAATATCATAGCGCAATAGCGCGTGTAAGTGTTTTCTTAAGTTTCCTTCGACATATTAATTAACACTTTTTAGGGTTCCGTGCCCAAAGAATATATCTGTCTATCTGTCACCTCGTGAACCGTAACAGTTAGACAGTTGAAATTTTCACATATGATGCATTTCTGTTGCCGCTTGAACAACAAATACTAAAAAACCAGCATAAAATAAACATTTAAAGGGATTCCCATACATAAAACGTGTTTTTTGCTCGTTTCTGGTACGGAACCCTACGTGCGCGAGTCCAATTCGCACTTGACCGGTTTTCTTTGTATACCAGATGTGAACTGTGCTCATATGAAATTTTAATCATCTTAAATAAAGTCCAATTACTTGAAGCTTACTGATTTAAAAATCACCAAAAGGATAACTGACATTCGATTTAAAAAGTACAGATGTTGTACATTTTATATCCTACGGTACATAAAAACAGTTCATATTATTATCATTAGCAACAACAATGTCATGTGCGTGACATGAAACCTCACTGAGTGATGTAGTTTATAATACTGTAAAACCGATAGCATCCAATTAAGCTAACAACATAATGAGATAAAAGAACAGCCCAGTTTTATTACACAAGTTTATTAGGTTTGGTAATGTAAAGACGAATTTCTTGGAACTATAAGATAGTTAATACTATAGCAACTCTTTTATAGCTACAATAGAATGACAGTTTTTCACTGAATTGCTACCGTGTACATTGTTTTTGTCTAGTTCCCGATATTCCTGAATAACTGAACTGAATTTTACGGGTAGGCGTCATAGGCAGGTATATCTATCTACTTTCTTTCTAGGCCTTTTTAGTTTCTTTCTAGTTCTTTTATAGTTACTTCGCAATCCTATTTGGAAG